GGGTGAGAGCCTCAGAGAGGGTCAGGAATACAGGATAGAGAATCAGAGCTGGCCTCTGCCTCTCAGCTGGAGTCATTCGGAAATGGCACTGTGAAGCAAAGGATTTTTTTTTTTATTTTTTGAGAAAAACTCTCACTCCGTTGCCCAGGCTGCAATGCAGTAGCACGATCTCAGCTCACTGCAACCTCCGCCTCCCGGATTCAAGCGATTCTCCTGCCTCAGCCTCCAAAGTAGCTGGGATTACAGGTGCCCGCCACCATGCCTGGCTATTTTTTGTATTTTTTAGTAGAAACGGGGTTTCACCATGTTGGCCATGCTGGTCTTGAACTCCTGACCTCAGGCAAGCTGCCCACCTTGGCCTCCCAAAGTGCTGGGATTACAGGCGTGAGCCACCCCTGCCCAGCTGAAGCAAAGGATTTTTGGTTTCCAGCAGTGGAGGTGGATGGCATTGAGCCAGCTATAAGAAATGGTAAGAAAAGAGATTCTGAAGCTAGTCAGTCTCTATCCAATCCTGATTCTGCTACTTCCTAGCCGTGTTACCCTGGACAAGTTACTTCGACTTTCTGAGTCTCAGTTTCCTCATCTGTAAAATAGGAATAATAGTATTTCCACTTGGCAGCATTATTGCAAGGGTGATATATAAACAAGATGATATATAAAACGTGCTTAGCACACTGTGCAGTACACAGTAGCTCCAATTATTAAATGTCCACAGTATGCCAGCATTATGCCAGTTACAGGAAATGCTTGTATGAATAAGACAGATTCCTCGCCTTCGAGGAGTTTATTGGCTTGTGGATAGGACAGGCGAGCAAACATTTACTACACAGTACTTTGGGAGTGGTGCTGGCTGGAAGGAGTGGTGCCGTCTGTCTACAGTTATGGAATAGATCTTCCCAGCTCTGGATAAAGTTAACTGTGTAAGAACAGAGACTGAACTCATGACCTTAAATAATGGGAACATAATAAAAAATAATTGTGGTATAGCAGCTGACACCAGCAGACAGAGGGTGTCAATTGTCACGGCAGCCAGTGATTTCATTTTATCCTCCTCAAAGCCTCACAAGATTTGATGATGAGTAACTGAAGAGGGGAGTCTGACTTTTTCTAGGGCCTTCAGACAAGTAATTGTGCCTCAGGCCCTGAGGGATAAAGATAAAGATCCACAGGGTCAGTGCTATGGGTTATGTGCCCCCTACCCATCCCATGGAGGGAAACTAAGTAGCAAAATGGCCACAGGGTAATGTGGGCGGGCTGGTCAGAGCCTGGTGGATCTATAAGCTACCAGTAAGAAGATCTTTTTTTTTCCCCCCAGAGACGAAGTCTTGCTCTGTTGCCCAGGCTGGAGTGCAGTGGCATGATCTTGGCTCACTGCAACCTCCACCTCCCATATTCAAGCAATTCTGCCTCAGCCTCCCAAATAGCTGGGATTACAGGTGCCTGCCACCACATCCAGCTAATTTTTGTATTTTTAGTAGGGATGGGGTTTCACCATGTTGGCCAGGCTGGTGCCCGGCCCAGATCATTTTTATGATGTCAAAGAATTTAGGAAAATGCCTTCTTGCAGGTTTAGGTGGAAGCGAAACTTTCTACTCTGCTCTCCCTTAGTTGGAAATAGTGCGGTGGAAGGAAAGGTAGAAGAGTGTGACAGAGGGCTGCCTGCCCTGTGGCTGTGCCAGTGATCTCTGCACACTGGGCTCCATCTAGGGCACATCCAAGCCTGGATCGGATACCTTGCTTTGTGTGTGCCAGGTCATTTTTGTCTTTCCCCTCACGTGCATATGATACTTTACGGGGCATAAAGTCCCATCAGCCCTGTGAAGCAGGCACTTGTCACTTCTAGGAAACTGAGGCTCAGAGAAAGTAAGCAAACTCTCCAAGATCAAATGATTAGAAAGTAGAAATCTTAAGACCAGAGCTCAGTGTGCTGGCTGTGAGACCAGGGCATCCACTGTTATAGATGCTTCCTTCCTTCCTTGGGGGTGTGGATTTGGCCTTTTGCTAAGAAGGAGTGGTTCCCCAAGTGGGTCAAAGGATCCTTGGAGACAAAGCTTCTTTCCTTTTCCTGATACAACTTCTGTATGGGAGGTTTACAGGAACATCATGAAGGCAGTTAATTAGTCCATTCTCAAGCTGCTGATAAAGACATACCCGAGACTGGGTAATTTATAAAGTAAAAGAGGTTTAATGGACTCATAGTTCCATGTGGCTTGGGAGGCCTCACAATCATGATGGAAAGTGAAAGACACGTCTTACATGGCGGAGAACAAGAGAGAAAATGAGAGTCAAGCGAAAGGGGTCTCCCCTTATAAAACCATCAGATCTCGTGAGACTTATTCACTACCATGAGAACAGTATGGGGAAACTGCCCCCATGGTTCAATTATCTCCCACCCAGTCCCTCCCAAAACATGTGAGAATTATGGGAACTACAATTCAAGATGAGATTTGGGTGGGGACACAGCCAACCGTATGAGCAGTGGAGGGGGCCTCAGCCTCAGATAAAGACGCAGGAATCCTCCACCAACTGCTGCCATCTCTCCTGTGACCTTGAGCAGGTCACTGTACCTATCTGTGTCTGGGGTCCTTGTCAGCTATAGGGAGTCACGTTCCCTTCCCTGCCTACCTTCTGGGCGTGATGCGAATCAAATGAAACAAGCAATATCAGAGACAGCTTGAGAATGTCGAAAGTACAGTACAAACCCAAGGCATGATTCTGAACATCTTCATACAAAACTGAGAGCTGGTGGCCCTCAGGTTGCTTCTTTCATTTCTTTCATTCATTCACGCAATGCTAGAAAAATGTGGAATACATTCCCTGCACCAGACTCTGCGTTAGGTACTGGTGATGCAAGGAAGTCCCCAGGCTTTGAGGAATTCGAAGGGAGGAGAGACAGATTCAGACCAATAATTATGACACATAGATGGGAGGCCTTTTATTTTTGTTTTATTGTTTTGTTTTGAGACAGGGTCTCCATCTGTCACCCAGGCTGGATTGCAGTGGTGCTATCATAACTCACCGCAGCCTTGACCTTCCAGGCTTAAGTGATCCTTCCACTTCAGCTTCCTGAGCAGCTGGGACCATGGGTGCCTACCACCACGCTTGGCTAATTTTTTTTTTTAAATTTTTTTGTAGAGATGGGGTCTCCCTGTGTTGCTCAGATTGGTCTCAAACTCCTGGGCTCAGGGCTCAAGCAATCCTCCCACCTCAGCCTCTGAGTAGCTAGAAATGCAGGCTTGCACCACTGCACCCAGCTAATTTTTAAATATCTTATAGAAACAGGGTCTCGCTCTGTTGCCCAGGCTTGTCCTGAACTCCTGGCTTCAGCGATCTTCCCACCTTGGCCTCCCAAAGTGCTGGGATTTCAGGCATAAGCCACTGCACCTAGCTGATATGAGGCCTTTTAAAGAGATGACCACAGTCAGGGAGCCCTGCATTGAGGTGTCCACAGATGCTGTGGAATGTGAGGTTGGGGGGCAGTGAGCAACAGTTGGAGCCAGAGAAGACCCCACAAGAGGAGGATGAGTAGGGGGCTGATGGAAGAGAGAGGGAGGAAGGAAAGGGCAGAGGAAACATCAGGCACAATGGCCTTGAAGAGCATGTGAGTCATTTAGTGCAGCTGAGGCACGGGTTACTTGAAGGAAGTTCACAGCTGGGGCACGGGTTACTTGAAGGAAATTTGATAGCTATTTCTTTTTTATTTTTTGAGACACAGTCTCTGTCTGTCACCCAGGATGGGGTGCAGTGGCGCAATCTTAGCTCACTGCAACCTCTGCCTCCCAGGTTCAAGCAATTATCCTGCCTCAACCTTCCGAGTAGCTGCGATTACAGGCGCCTGCCACCATGCCTGGCTAATTTTTGTATTTTTAGTTGGCCAGGCTGGTCTCAAACTCCTGACCTCAAGTGATCGGCCCGCCTCGGCCTCCCAAAGTGCTGGAATTACAAGCGTGAGCCACTGTGCCCAGCCATGATAGCTATTTCTTATTATGGGAACGGAGCCTGCTGGTCACCCTGGAGTTCTTTTTGGGACATGTTTAGGTGTGTACATCAGTGTGTACTGGTTTGCCTCTCCGGGTTGCAAGGAAGAAGCCCACGTAAATGAACTCAGTGATGGAGCTTTGCTGTGAGGCCCCATGGGAAGCAAGATTTTTAGGAAATGATCTCAGCTGATAGCTGGACGTGTGCTGGGACCTTAGGCCTCCAACTCAGTGCAGTGCTATCCAGGTTTTGACCTGAGTTCCAGGGTCCCACCTTCTCTGTGAGCACCTGGTGTTGGTTGTTGGTGGTTCCTGAGAGCAGAAGGGTCTAGTTGCATTGGTTTGCACTGACTGGTGTAACTCTCCCCATCAGGCAGGGCTTCAGCCTAGCCACCATGGCAGGAGTTGGTTTCCACTGGGTCCAGCATATACCAGGCCACCTGTCCCAGGTCCAAGCAGGACTAGTTTTAATCATAATGCACTACAACCTTATATGAAGAGAACTCTGGATCTTGAGCTGGTTTCTCCTATAGAGAGCTTTGTAGATTTCTCTCTTGGAGAGATGGCTGAGTAGAACCCTTTAGAGATCACAGTCCCATTTACTCATTCACAGAGTGGGAAAGGAAGGCCCAGAAAAGGCAGTAGCCTTGCTCAAACCTGTGCAGCAAGTTCACTGCAGGGTCAGGCATAGAACAGGTCTCCTAGATTTTTTGGTTGGTGCATAAATGTGCTTCTGTGTTGTTGACATGTTCATGAACCCATGTACTGTGTACAAGGCAGCGGGCCATGTCCTGAGAATGGACAGGCCACATAATCCCTGTCCTCCAGAAGGTTATAATGGGGGTATCAGAGCACACATAGAAAAAGATAGCTGTTCAATTTGCAGTGGCCCTGGGGGAAGCCAATACAGTTAGGCAAATTATACCAAGTCCAAGGAAAAAAATCTGTGAGGCTCTGCCTGCCAGATCCTCGATGACCTTCTAAGAAAGGTGATTTTCGTGATTTTTTTTTTTTTTTTTTTAGCCTATGTTGCCTAGGCTGGAGTGCAGTGGCTATTCACTGGTGCGATCGTGATGAATGACAGCCTCGAACTCCTGGGCTCTCGCCATCCTCCCGACTCAGCTTCCCGAATCGCTGGGACTACATGTATTTGCCTCTGAACTCAGCTAAGATTTTTTGTTTTAGCCTGGTTAGAACCAAAGAAGCCACAGCAGGACTTCTGGACCCAGCCATAGGCCAGCGGAGAGCAGAGAGAAGCCTGGGGAAATGGAAAGGGGATAAGACTGGCGACTTCGTTGCATGTGACCGATTCCCTAAGCCATCTGCTCTTACAAATCCCTACTTAGCAGCCCAGAGCAGTTACAGAGAGGGACAGGGGTCTTTGAAACACAAATCACCAGTGATGACAAGGCCACTGGGTATGAGGCTGTTTGTTCTCTTCCTGAGTGGATAAGGTTTCTAAGGGATAAATGGAGTGTTCTTACTGGCTGGCCCAGGACCTGCTGTTCCCATGCAATGGCTAGGGGATGCTGTCAGAGGCTCTAGGGAGTGGGAATGGCCTGACTTCCAGAAAAGACTAGTTGAAAATCCAGCTACAAGGTAAGCTCCAGAGCCTGGACCCTGGCAAATTAGTCTTTTGGCCTGGTTGCCATGGAGACAGGCAGGCAGCAGCTGCTGGGGAAGAGGAAACAGCAGCTCCACCGACATCTAGGATTCTGAGACAGCCATGATGGGGGAGGGGGCTTGACACCACCCTTTCTCCCCCAGATACTGAGGTCCCTGTTTGCCCCCCACCCCCCGGACCCCCTGATTCCCAGACTCACAGGCTCTGGTGAGTTGCCAGGGTCTGAACACAAGACAGTAGCAGTACTGGATCCTGAAACCCCAGTTTCCTGCTTCCAAGCCAGTGCCCCACCCCTACTACACCACAGTTGCCTCCTGCTTCAGAGCAAAAGATCTTCCAGCGCACTGCGCTTCCGGGCCCTGAGAGGGCTCCCAAGCTGCCTCCTTGGAGGGGATAAGTCATTAGAGGTGAATCCCAGTGTGTTGGCCACCAGAGGCCAATTTGGCCCAGTGCTCTATCGCTGTCTCTCTGGAAAACCTGGCAGTGTCTTCATGGGTCTGTGACCAGCCATTGTCTAGGAAGGGAGCTTGAAGTGGAGCCCAGAGGGAACTCAGCAAATGATGCGGTTCATTGTTCCTTCATTTGATGCTACGCTGATAACATTAATTTGCAGCTTCACCGGCCATGCTGCCTGGCTGGCCGCCCTCCAAGTCCTGACCTCCCTAGACTGGTGGAAACAGCCCTTGGCTCTCCCTCTCCTAGGGGTTATCTCTGGAAATTGAAGGTGGGAGAGGAGGGGCTTAGGATCCAGGTCACCTGAGTCCACTTTCACAGCCCGGAGGTTGTGTCTCAGCATCTCAGTTTCATCCTCTTTGGTAAAAGGAGAAACGAGGCTGGTATTATCTAGGGCTTTGAGTATCTGGGCTTTGGATGTGTGTAGGATCCTTACATAAGAGAACAGAGAGCTAGTGTGGAGAGACAGGAGAGGACTGGAGAAAAGCAGAGGCTGCTACTGACCAGCCTGGGCTTTTGATGTTGCTGTTTTAATTATGAAGGTAGTTCATGTGTGGGCGTTATGAAAGAAAAAAGTCAATGCCAAAGAATATAAAGGAAACGGAGAAAATGACCCATCACCTCAAGCCCCAATCCCTCTCCCCTGGTGGAAACCACACATAATTTTGTTGTGTATCTTTTCAGATCTTCCTCTATTCTCACACTTTCCCCACTACATTACTATTACTTTAAAATTATACAAATGATATGAACACATTTCTACAAAGATGCAAACACCACAGATAAATAGTCTATTCCCTTCACCACAGCTATTTTGTTTGTTTGTTTGTTTGTTTTTGAGATGGCGTCTCCCTGTGTTACCCAGGCTGGAGTGCAGTGGGGTGATCATGGCTCACTGCAGCCTTGACCTCCTGGGTTCAAGTGATTCTCCCACCTCAACCTCCCAAGTAGCTGGGACTATAGGCATGAGGCACCACACCCGGCTAATTTTTTGTATATATATATTTTTTAGAGATGGGATTTCACCGTGTTACCCAGGCCGGTCTTGAACTCCTGGCTCAAGTGATCCACCCACCTCAGCCTCCCAAAGTGCTGGAATTACAGGCGTGAGCCACTGCACCCAGCCTGGACAGCTATCATTAACAGTTTAATGTCCTTCATACGTTTATGTACAAACACAAACACACACTTTCAGGTTTTCTTTCTTTAGCATAAATGCAATCATAACATCCATATGGCTCTGCAAGTTGCTTTTCCTACCATAGTAATTCTTAGATTTTTCCACAGTAAGAGACCTACCCCATTCTCTCTAACTGCTGCTTAATATTCTACATTTTGGATATTCTGTAACTTATTTAAGTAATCTCCAATAGACACAAGTTTTTTACAATCTTTTGTTAATAGTAACACTTTGAACATTTTACAGCGTTTTTTTCTTTTTTTCTTAAGAGGCAGGGTTTGGCTCTGTCACCCAGGCTGGAGTGCAGTGGTGCAATCTCGGCTCACTGCAGCCTCAACCTCCTGGGCTCAAGCGATTTCCTGCCTCAGCCCCCTGAATAGCTGGGACTACAGGCACGCGCCACCATGTCAGGGTAATTTTTGTATTTTTTGTAGAGATAGGGTTGTAATTTTTGTATTTTTTGTAGAATTGATGTTAACCCATCAATTCTACTTCTAGAAATAAGCCCTGCATAAAAAGCTGTACACCAGTCTGGGCAACATGGTGAAACTCCATATTTAATTAATGAGGAAAATTATCTTTAATTTTCCTAAATACTGTGGGGATTTTTAAGTTAAAAAAAAATCTTAGCCACAGATACCCATTACAAAAAAAAAAAATTGAAAACTACAGAAAGCTACAGAGGGGCCAGGTGCAGCGGCTCACGCCAATCCCAGCATTTTGGGAGGCCAGGGTGGGCAGATCACAAGATCAAGAGATCAAGACCATCCTGGCCAACATGGTGAAACCCCGTCTCTACTAAAAATACAAAAATTAGCTGGGCATGGTGGCGTGCCCTGTAATCCCAGCTACTCAGGAGGCTGAGGTAGGAGAATCGCTTGAACCCGGGAGATGGAGATTGCACTGAGCCGAGATCGTGCCACTGCACTCCAGTCTGGCAACAGAGCAAGACTCTGTCTCAAAAAAGAAGAAGAAGAAAAAAAAGAAAGCTACAGAGGGAGGAAAAAATCACTCACAGTGTCTCTGTCCAGCAACCACAATTGTTTACTTTTTGGCATGCTTTCTCCCATTATTTTTTTATGCCTGCTACTGTTACAGTGGTCAGAGACTGGGTCTCCCTATGTCACCCAGGCTGGTCTCAAACTCCTGGCCTCAAGTGATTCCCCTGCCTCAGCCTCCCAAGTACTGAGACTGTAGGCATGAGCCACCAGGCCCAGCTTACATACACAATTTTCTATCTAGGATTTCATTACTTAATGTTATAAGCATTTTCCCATGTCAATAAAATTTTTTATAAACATTCTTTTTATGATTTCATGGTAGGCAGTACATGTACATACCATAATTTTCTTATCTGTTCCTCTGTTGTTGGGCTTTTAAGTTGCCTACATCTTTTTCCTGTACGATAACACCTCAGTGAATATCTTCTTGCATAAGTCTTTGTCTGAAATCCATTGATTTCCTTAAGCTAGATTCCAAAAAGTAGAAGTACTGGGTCTAGAGGCAGAGAATTTATTTTTTTAAGTTGAATTTTGAATTGTTGTTATGTACACATGGCACACAATTCCAAAGGTACTAAAGGTTACACAATAAGAATAGTAATTCTCCTACTTGGTCGTTTAGCAGTGGTTCCTTCTTTTTTTCCTTTTTTCTTTCTTTCTTTTTTTTTTTTCACTTAAAGGCTAGCGTGATAGTAAGGTTTTTCTTCTTAAAGGCAATGTGGTTGCCTGTTTCCTTCATGGGTATATTTCTTATGGGGGAATCTATATATTTAAATACATATATTTTAAAATATAGATTCCTTTTTCATATAGAAACAGTAGCACATCAGATACCTTTGCACTTTCCTCTTCTTGCTTAATATTTCTTGATGATTGCTCTATACATAAAATAGAGAACTGCCTCATTTTCTTAAAATATTGCATAGAATTCCTTTAAATGGAAGTGCCAGATTAAATTAATCAATCCTATTGATGCATTTTTGGGTTGTTTTTCATCCTTTGCTACTGGAACAGTGCCGTCATGAACGTCCTTACGTGTGTATGCCATTTTGTACATGTGCAAGCACACCCATCTCTACAATGGATTCCCTTAAATGGAATTGCTGGGTCCCAGGGATTTTACATGTGGATAACTATTGCTATCTCCACAGAGGGTGGCCATTTCCTGATAGAGGATATGCAGATTTTTTAAAGCTCTCGATAGAAATGGCACGACTGCTTTCCAGAAAAGCGTTCGTTACCTGTTCACACTCTCACCCGCGCGCTGCTCCCTCCTCCCACGGACCTGCCTGGCTGACAAGTTAAAACACACACGCGCGCGCGCGCACACACACACACACACACACACACACACACACACAACGGTATGGAGATGTCTACAGGGTTTATTCTCAATAGTCATTATTTCAAAAGGATCTGAAAGATTAGCAAAGGTTTGCAAATATTTAACTTTTAGACCCTTTCTAATAAAGAAATATTTAAAACCCAGGATCTGAGAGAATTTCCTAGCCCTCGTTTTTTTCACGCGTGACCTTGGCAAATGACTTCTCCTTTTCAAGCCTGTCATGTCTTACAATTGTCGTGGGGAGGAAGTGAGATATGACACTCAGGGAAGTGCTTGGCACACAGCAAGGGCTCAAAAGGTGGTCGCTGGGAAGAAACGGTGGTGAAGGAAAAAGCGCCAGCCCTCCGAGTCATCCCAGCGGTCAGAGGAAGGGAGTCTCCCAGGCTCCAAAAAGTGAACTGGGCGGTGCCGGCGGCTTTGTTCTTTCCCCCAAAATCTCTCGCTGGTCTTTCCTCCCTTGGAGAGGAAAACGGAAACCTGCCACCAGCTCCCGGAGAGAAACACCCAGACCAAGACTGGCCCCTAACCGGGGCTGGGGCCTAGGGGCTGGGCCCTCTCCCGGGTCACTGAATCCACCTCGGTGAAGCCCAAGGAGACTTTGGTCCGCGCCCCGAGTGGAGGACCGGGTTTCTGCCGCGGGCGTCCCCAGCCTGCTCCGAGACCCGGAATGCCAAGTTCTTCCATCCCTACTCGTTTCTTACTCAATCCCTGTTCTTCCTGAAGCTAACGGCAGGCACTGGCCGCAGGCGCCTCCCTGACGGCCCCTCCCAGCGACCTGGGTGGGCGCGGCCGCGTGCGCCCGGGGATCCGGGCTTCTCCGCCACTCGCGAACGCGACCTCGTGCGGTTTCCCGCAGCACTGGCTCCCCGCCACCCAGAGACCCCACCCGCTCCCAGGGCCCCGCGAGCGGCCGGGAGGGGACGTAGCGGCACGCGTCAGTGCCGCAGTCGGGCTTGCACCTCCGCCCGGATGCGAAATGGCCCGAGCGGGCTCCGCACCGCCAGTGAGCCCCAACCTTCCCTTCTCCTAGCACAGAGGTGCTGCCCTGAAAAAAATCAGCTACTAGAGACGCCATTTCGGTCCCCACCCTTGTCTCAGCCAAGGAAGAACCAATCACAACGCTTGTGTGTCGCTGTGCAAGCCGCAGGTGGGGTGGGAGAGCAGATCCCGTGGAACGCAGCGAAGCCATTTTCTGGGAGGATTCGCAGTCATTTCCACTGCTGGTGTGTAACTTCCACAGATGGTATAATCACCATGTTTAATTTCAGCCATTCCCTCTCCGCCAACTCCCCTCACACCGTGGCCTTTCCTTTCCCCAAGCGATGTGGGGTCTAGTCTTGACCCTGAACCTAACCCGCTCTGTGACCCAGCCTCAGGCCTCAGTCTTTTAAGCTACAAAAATGCAAGGAAGGAATAAAATTAGAGAATGGCAAATATTGGTGAGGTTAGGGGGAAATGTATTCTCCGGATTTGTCTTTAAACTGGAAATATTTATGACCTGTGCCAGATAATCCTATGTCTTGGTCTCTACCCTAGAAAAATATTTGCACATGTACCCAGGAAGGCTGTCTCTTGCGGGACCATATCTAATAACAAACCACTGTAAAGAGCTCAAGGGCTATCCGTAGGGAATGAATGAATACAATGGGGTCTATCTACATAATGGGTCACGGCATCACAGAAGGAATCAGCCAGATCTATATATGCCTATATATGCAGATAAATGGATAGGGCTCTAAAATATATTAAGTGAAAGTAGAAAGTTGCAGAATAATGCATACAATATAACACAATTTTTGTAACATGTTAAGCAGAACTGTGGATATTCTGTGATTACATTCAAACATACATAAAAGCATTTTAAAAAAACTGAAAAGTTCTTTTCAATTCAGTTCTTTTCAGTTCAGTTCTTTTCAGTTCACTCCTAATTCATCCAAGTGGCTGTCTCTGGAGAGGGAGTTGGGATAGCAAGTGGAGGTGAGAGGCAACTTCAGCTTTCTTTGTAATATTCTAATTTTATTTTTAAAAATGACAGCCGAGTGCAGTGGCTCACGCCTGTAATCCGAGCACTTTGAGCAGCCAAGGCGGGCAGATCACGAGGTCAGGCGTTCAAGACCAGCCTGGACAACACAGTGAAACCCCGTCTCTACTAAAAATACAAAAATTAGCCGGGCGTGGTGGTGGGTGTCTGTAGTCCCAGCCACTCAGGAGGCTGAGGCAGGATAATCACTTGAACCCGGGAGACGGGGGTTGCAGTAAGCTGAGATCATACCACTGCACACCAGCCTGGGAGACACAGCAAGACTGTGTCTCAAAAAATAAAAAAATAAAAAATAAAAATGACACTACA